TATTGTGCCATGATAAAACAGTGCCATCTCCTCTCAATTATTGTGCTCCCAACAACACAACACCTGCATCCTGCCCAGCAGCAGAACTAAAACAACAGGGCTGTCATTCCCTGTCATTTCACAGGGTGGATGAATGCTGCCAAATCCCAACAGAGGGACACGAGTCAGGCCAGCAGCCTGGACTGGAGCAGCACCAGAGCACACTGGTTTACGTCATGAAGTTAAAGGATATCAAAATTAATTATCCCCATAAATGCCCATAAAAGCAGATAATTTCTGTGAAATACCTTCACAGGCAGGAGCAGCACAATGTTCTGGCAGTGCAGTGCAAACTGGACACGTGCTGGTTGCTCCATGACTTGGAGGCCAGCGGGAAGAACACTCCAAGCTGTGCAACACCCACCTACACAGACCTGCCGTGGAGCCCTTCCCTGATGATGGAATTATAAACAGACCCACCACCTGACCATGGCTGCAGGGATGCAGTTGTGAGTCAGGCAGTGATTCCCAACACTCTCCCAAATCCACTTACTGACTGCTTTTCCAGATGTTGCAAGTTATTTACGAGACTGTCCTGTTTTCCTATACCTGCACTGTAATATGGGGGGAAAGAGTTAAGTATCCTGCAAACCAGCCAACCCATGGGGATTTTAATTCCAAATGCTTCCCTTACAAAACATTGTTTGCAGCAAGGATGTGCCACCCATTTGAGATGTATAAATCAAATAAGGTGTTTGCCTTATACTGTATTATTTTTATATTTTCACATATATATATAATAGATACACCAAATCAAACTGATATATTCATATGTATGTGCATATTCCCATATATGTATATTCATATATACAGATATATATTCAAGAGTTCTGTTCAAGTTGGGTTTGGAGTGATGGCAGTACAGGGGACCATAATCTACATCCCTTCTGTTAATCAAACCCTGGAAAAGAACAGGATATAGGGTCCTTAGCTATCCAAATGGGGACAAAACAAAAAATTCCTTCTTTGCAAAAAATGCAATCAAATAATTGCAATCAAAAAAACGCAAAACAAAAGCTAAAGAAATCATAGCAGGTAAGTAAGTGTACCACATAACTTGAATGCCAAAATTATATACTGTGTGAAGAAAGCAATATCATGAGCAGCCTGCTRTACTTTTCTAGAACAAATCCTATTATTTCCTCCAGTTTTTCTGAGCTGTCTGATTAGAACAAGAGCAGGATGTAAGGCTAAACAACTCACCTGCACCTGAAACTGGACAAGATCAGACCTGGCCCTCCAAACCCACAGTAATTCCCCATATGCTCCCTTGGAGAGCCCAGCCWACAAATTATCAATGCTGTAACGTGGTATTCAGGTTATAAATTAAAAAAAAAAAAAATAGCTGCACTTATGTCAATGTGATTTAAAAATAAAATTCCCAGTCTGATAAAAATCCTTCATTTTCAGTGACACAAGCAGCTCAYCACATACTCATTCTCGATCCAAAACAAATTATTCCTTAGTATCTCATGTGTTCAAGAGAAGAGACTGTGAAGCAACAAGATGGAAGGAAGGATATGGAAATCCAAATCTATTTCAGAAGAAAATCAGCAATTTAAGGAACTGCTGTACCACAGTTGTCAGTGTAGCAGCATCTGAGCAGAACCCTCAGAGCTGCAGGGACTGTTCCAAGTGTTCAGAGAGATCCTTGACCTCGCTCAAAGTACAGCCCAGGAGATCCACAGCAGAAAAAAAAACAACCTGTGGGGCTGGTGGAGCAAACTGGAGTGACAGAAAAAGCTCAGGCATCATTCCCACCTCRGGGACTGGCTCCAGCACCAAAATCCTTCCAGCTCATTAAATCTGTGGTCTAGSAAAACCTCAGCTGTAAGGAGAAATTTAAACTGATTTATTTAATCACATACAGWAGAATTTCTGAGGGGCTGTTTCAAAGATCATTGTTAAAATAGAGTGCTGAATTCAAACTCGGTTTGCACAAAGGCGCATTTCAAGGCACGGCAACTTTAAATTCATCATTTAAATAAATGACAACAGCTTCAGTCACGCCAAGAACGTCACAAAGCGCAAGTTCCGATCCTTCAGCCATCATCGGAAGTGAGAAATCAATCATTTTGTCCAGGATTAAATCTGAAGATTCTTCTGCACTCGGCCAAAGAAGAGAGCAGTTCCCCTCTCCTTTATCCTTATTCTGCCTTCATCATGCAAGGAAAGTTTCCACGGCATCAGGAAGTATTTGGAAATTGCTAGGGAGGTTTGGCTTCATGKGTAATGACTGGAGGAGGGATTTTAAAAAAGGAAAAAAAAAAWTTAAAAGAAGWGTGCAAATACTCCCTGAAGCTCCATTTCTGCTCTGTCAGCCCTTAAAGAGGAGAAGGAGCCTGTTCAGATCACAGCAGCCAGACGGAATCACTCCTGCACCATCACCCACGTGCCTGCCCTGCTGATTCATTATTTGTGCAGGGAAATGCAAAGACATGGGGAATTTTTTTCCAATGCCTGCCAGGAGTCTGTAGCCCAGCAAAAGCGATGTCAGGTTTGTATTTCTCTGACAGAATCAGACAACACAAATAATGGTGGGTTTTTTTAGCCTGGCTGAAAGACATTTACTAAAATAGTTAACCTGAGTTTGAGCAGCCTCACAAAAGTATGCTAAAGGTAACACACGGAAGAGGGATTCACTTTCATCTTTGCCAGCAAAGGAAATACCAGCAATAATAATGTATTCAAGCACACCAGCAACTCCCCCACAAYCACTACTCACACTGCATTTAATAGAACTAGAAAGCAAAGGATTGAACCACAGAGATGAGCTGAGAAGCTGCAAATAACACTTAACTACAGCTTTCAGATGGGTTCAGTCGGGCCACAGGACAGAGTGCAGCCCATTACACTCCCAAACAGACACAGAAAGAGCTGAAAGTTTTTCTCCCCACAGCTCTCCTGCTTAACCCACAAAACACATTTACAGGTGTGTGACAGTGCTCTGATTCTCAGTCCTCACACCCAGTATGTGACACCCCTCCCAGCTGCTGTCCCCTCCTTTGGACAAAGGCTTCTTGCCCTGCAAAGGGGCAGTGGAAATGAAGCACTCTCTCCATCCTAAGCAGCCAAAGAACAAATGTGTTCTTCTGCAGAGGCAGCAGCGAGTGTCCAGCAGGGTCTGAGTGTGGTAAATCACTCACCAGCAGCGCTGGGAGACCTGGAGCCAGGTTCCTCACAACTGCAACTCCTCTCTCCCGTCAAATCATTCAGCTTGGAAAGGATCTCAGATCATTGGGTCCAATAGTTAACTCAGCACCATTAACCTTTCCACCTTTGCCCAGAGAGGCAAGACATGCCCAGGGAGTCCTTGTGTWGCTTAACCCACCTCCTGTCTCTCCC